ATACAAGGTATGACAGATTAATCCTTATTTAATTTCTATTTTTGATAAGTACGTACATACTACTTAATCATATTACTCTGTGCTGAATAGATGTAGAAAGAGCTGCACGTATTGTTTATGGTTATGAGCAACATTCTAAAAAAGGAATTGGGGCGTTTGACTTAGATGGCAAAATGTACGTACTTTTGCCTTTTCTTTCCAGCCTGGGATCCACAAAGAATTTGTGATTATATTTATAGGAAATTTAAGTCATAAATATCATCTGAATTTTTGATATTTTTATTTTTATTTGTTTACATGTCTATTAAAAATGGTTTGTATTTTTTAATAACAGGATTGATCTCCCGATGGTCAAATGGGCAGAGCGAATACTTACAAGGGCCACAGCTGGCGGAATAACGATTCCCGAGATAAAGAAGGATGAAAACAGCATTGAAGCATAATAAATACATAAATTATATGTTTACTAAATTAATCGTAAAATCGAATATTATAAATTGTCTCCCAGAGTTTTATTTTTATTGCAACTGATAATCAGGCGGTAAATTGATAATCGATAACTATAATCATGTGATCAGAATATATTTAATAATTCAATTTCTACCATATATACATGATAATTAAGATTGGCGCCAACGGCATCAATAATAGTAAGCATTGTAAAAAACATCGCGTGTATAAAGCACGTTTACCATAGTCGCAGTGCATGAAACCAAGATTAAATTGAAAAGCAGGGAATGATCAGATTTTGTTTTTCGCCTATCTTTGATATTCACGTTGTAATCTTAATAGATGTCAGGGGATTTCTTTACAGAGTAATTATTTAAAAACCATGCATATATTTCGAGCAAGCAAGCACGCACGTACGTACGTACGTTGAAAGATTTTTAAAAAACTATGAAATAATAATAGAAAAAAATGTCGCAAGAAACACAGGTCTAGTAACTACTAACGTATTAAGATTTTAGTCAACTAAGAAATTTTCTCAGCGATCAGCTTGATCAGCCAATTATCTTATGTAAAGTAAAAAAAAAGAATTCTGATCCCTTGTGATTTTGACAATTTTTGGAAATCTGTTGAGACACAAACGCCTGAAAAAATGGGGAAATGTTTTTT